AAGTTGTGGCAGATTTAGTCCTGAGACTCATCATCTCTCAATACAAGTGTATGTGTTCACAAGCGGATCTTGACCACTCCAACATAGTGGACACACAGACGTATCGCCTCAGATAGAGAACAACAGACAACGTGGCATCTAGGTATGTATATCTATGATGGAGGCCAACTCCCCCCAGGTAGAGGTGAAAAAAAATGACATATGACTTTTTTTTTTTTACTTCTGTTTATTTGGTAGCTGGATTGTCAAAAAATTGACGCAACATAATATATTCTCAAAATATTTACTGTGTGAAAATAATGACTTACTGAAATAATTACTCACTTTTTTGAGCATTAATCATTACATATTATTATTCATTATTTATCATTATTTTTTTTTCCTGCTGTAGAACAAACCTCACCTGCACACCACTGACCCTGCTAATGATACTGCTGCATTTTTTTAATCATAGACATTGCCTCCACTTTTCCGTATCTTATACTAATGGTCAAGCCTCAGTCTCTGCTGTTATTGTTTGCTATCTGGTGTCAACCAGAGGAGAATGGGTTCCCCTTGGTTCCTCTCAAGGTTTCCTCCTCTTGCTCTTGGGGAGCTTTTCCTTGCCACTGTCACCAGTGGTGACGCTCTTGGGGACTTGGACCTGGATTTTTCCTGTAAAGCTGCTTTGTGACAACGCCTGCTGTAAAAAGTGCTAAATAAATACAGTTTGACTTGACAAGACATGACTATTTTGAGACATTAAGTCAATTTGTTTGAAAAAAAAAAGTCCTTTTTTCGAGATGTTAATCAACATTTTGAGAAAATAAACTATTTTTTCAAGACACTAAGTCAAAGTTAAAAAAAAATTAAACCATTATTTCAAGAACATAGGTAAATATCTTGAGAAAATGTCATTATTATAAGATACTAAGTCAATATTTTTACAAAATTAGTCATGTTTTTGAGATACTAAGTCAATATTTTGAGAAAAAAAAGATAAGATATTAAGTAAAAAGTCATCATTTTGAGATTTTAGTCAGTAGCATGTGCTTGTTTACCACAGACAATAATACATACTTATAACAGAAGCCAATGGGAAGTTGTTTCAGCAATTGCCTATTAATACCTTCTATGGAAATGCATTCGGAGCCAATGGGTTTTCTGTTCTTTTATTAAGTACAGTAAACTGTGTCAAAATGATCTGTGGTAATGATAATCATATTCTACCAATTGCAGATAAAGATGAGGTTGGAAAACAATGAAGTATTCCTTTAACCCTCTATTACAGGCTTATTATTCAGTAATTACATGGAAAAACAGCACAAACTGGTTATACTTAAGTTTCAGGAGTGTGTTCTAAAAATCAACTTCGATTCTGGTGGTTACGAAGTGTTCCAGAGTGGAGTACTTGATCATTTTGTGTTGGGTTAAGAGAGTTGTCAGGCCTCGCTCTGAGTCATGTTTACATTTGCACCGTCTCACTAAAGAGATTGAAATGTCTTGCACCTTTTTTAAAGAAAGAAAGAAAGAAAAAACAACTGAGACAAGTATTCACATTTGTGTGGCCTCAGGCCCGGGAGGTGCCAATGTAACAGATGCGAGCGCGGTGCCGAGAGGACTGATCATTATATTGTTTGTGTCCAGGAGCGCTAATGGCCAGCGGAGCTTCAGTTGTCAGTGGCGGAGCGGCAGAGGAAGACACAGTAACCTAGACAACACAAAGCGAAACGAGTAAACAGGCGGACGGAAAACGCAGACAGGTAGTCTGAACAGAGGAAGCTTTAGACATTCTGACAGACGCGCACGCAGCCAGCGCTGGAACAACACGCCGCCCCACCCAACTCTGAAGTTTGCAGGTTGCTAGGCAACCTGAGCATATCTTACATATCAGAAAGGCAGGGGAGGTGATGCGGCGATTGGTCTCGTCCACAAGGATGTGCTGCCATTCCATCTCTCTCTCTCTCTCTCTCTCTCTCTCTCTCTCTGCAGTCTGTCCATCAGAAATCTCATTATTGTTGCTTGTGTGTATATCCCAGCGTCTCATTAGCAGGCTTCCAGAGAGGCAGAGGACACCGTGTCTGAACTTCTATACCAATTTGTCTGCCTCCATTTCGCTGTGTCTGCGAACCGCGTTTCCCACAGTGCATCAGGGCCATCCCTCAGCCAACTGAATAAGTAAAGAGGGCTGAGGTTTAAGGGTGAGAAGTCAAACAGGAGGATCATGGGAAATGAACTAGAGCCTTTTTTCGTAATCTTTGGGCCAGGAGCAACTTTTATATTTGTGATACGTGGGCGTGTCCATGACTGACATAATGTCTGTGTGATATGATGCTGAAACCTGTCTGTTAATTTTGGACTATTCTCAGTCCAGCAGTGACACTGAGGTGTTTAAAAACCCCAGCAGCACTGTTGTGACTGATCCACTTGCACCAGCACAACACACACTAACATGCCAGTGTCACTGCAGTGCTGAGAATAACCCACTACCCTCATAAAACCTGCTCTGTGGTGGTCCTGCGGGGTCCTGACCATTGTAGTACAGAGTAAAAAGGGGCTAATAAAGTATGTAGTATGTAGCTGCTGCAGTTGCAGTATGACAACACCTGTTTGCAGATGTGAGAAACGTTTACTCTGTGCCTGAGAAAAAACAAAAAAGCACCCAGCAAAGAAACTGTGTGTTCTTGTTTTAATATTAAGGGTTATTTTTCATAGTCAACCAGCTCACCTGCATGTCTTTGCTGATAGCTGGATGCTACACATGAGTGTGAATATAGCAGTACATATGTTTTTGGGTGAGAAGAGTTTTAGTTTCAAGCACTTGGTACTTATATATAGCATACTGTCCATGCACACACTGGATTTGCTACTGTTGACAGCCAGTGCAAAATTATAGTGAGAAAATATTGGCAAAACTTGTTCGGAGGTTCAGTTCTAAGTTAGCCAACTAAATTACTGGTCAAGTCAGTTTAAACCAGATTATGTAGGCAAACTAAACTGGTGGGTAGAAATTATGTTTATATGTGTATAGGTGTATATTACTCCTCCATAACGTTAAATCAAGTTGGTGTCTCACTGCTCAATTACTCAAAAGTAATTGCTACTGTAGTTTATGCATCATAACACAACCTACCATTATGAATGAGTAACTGTTGCCACATGGTGTGACCAGTGTGATTAAGACTTCTTAGCATGAAAGTCTGCTGACATCAGTAGACATAGGCTGATTTTGCATCTTAGTGTATTGAAGTGACATAATGCTGGCGATGTGGCATAGCTTATTTTTTGTAAATGGCAAAACTCACTTTATCTAGAGTATCTGCTTTATCAACAAGCCTAACGTAGCAAGCTATGTCATATTACCAGTATGTCACTGTGATATGCACTGAGCTACAAAGTGTGTAGTGTTTAACCACAGAACAACCAAATGTCAGAAATGATCAGTGTCACCTAAAATAGATGCTATGTCACATTGACATCAAAGTCAACAAAGTTTGCAAATGTGGCTAATTTGACTAATGTTTATATATGTTTATGTAAGTCTATTCGATTCACACACACACACACACACACACACAATCTAAGCCGCTTATCCTCCTGGGTCACGTGGGGTGCTGGACAGGGTGTCCAGTCCACTGCAGGGAAGGCACAAAGACATACAAAATCACACATACCTTCACACCTAAGGGCAATTTAGTATCTCCAATTCGCCATGTCTTTAGACTGTGGGAGAAAACGGGGAGAATATGCAAACTACATAGAAAGGGACCTGGTTGCCTGGCCGGGGAATCGAACCCAGGCTCTTCTTGCTGTGAGGCAACAATAGATTTGATTTGAATCAAATCAAATCAAATCTATTGTCATTATACATATACACTGGGCTACTTCTCTGGTGCATAAAAATTAACACCAGGCCATGAGTGTACATTTAGTACTGGGATAGCAAAGTACTAAAACCAATCAATAGACAAAAAATACAGAAGGTGCAGAGACAGACATAGAAGTGTCCTATTGCATAGACATTTTGCACATTTGCAAAAATGTGTGCGGCATTCTCAGAGGTAGGTCCAGTGATTATACTTAAGTGGTCGATAAAGAATGTTGTGAATGTTTGTTTAAGTGTATAAGAAGTATATATGAAGTCAGTCTGCAGTAACAGTAATAGAGAGAGTGGAATTAAAGTGCAATGTGTATTGTGGCATCAGTTTAGAGTTAAGTATTTCAGACAGTTTGAACCATTGTGTGTCGGGCAGTTTGAACGAGCCTCGTGACCGGAAGGTCGCCGGTTCGATCACCTGAGCTGACAGGACATGAGTAAAGTGCCCTTGAGCAAGACACCTAACCCCCAACTGCTCCTTGTGCACTGTGGATAGGGCTGCCCACCGCTCTGGACAAGTGTGCTTACTGCCCCCTAGTGTGTGTGCATTAGTATGTATGTGGGTGTTTCATTGCACAGATGGATTAAATGTGGAGGTGAATTTCCCTGTTGTGGGATTAATAAAAGGTAATTTAAATCCCTTTTTGATGGGAGACTCCTTGCATGGCCCTTCGCATGGCCACGCCTCCTGAGTTCCTAAGAGGCAGTGCATTCAATACAGGGATGCTACAAAATAGTTGGAGTAATGTTTGTATTTATGAGCTAGTGGGTGCTGTGGGTGTGGCCAGTTTAACAGCTTGAGGGTAGAAACAGACTCAAAAGTTCTGAAATCTCTTCCTAGATGGCAGCAAGTGGGACAAGAAGTGGCTGGGTTGTGTGGGATCTGAGTTGATATTGCGAGCTTTTCTGTAGCATCTATGGGTAGAAGGACAGCTGAGTGATGGACTGCGTCTATGGTCTTTGTCAGTTGTCATGATGGGCTTATGTAGGTGTCATGTAGCCTTATGAGCACTGTAGGGTTACCTGCATTTGCATGTGCTAAAACATTACTGAACCCTTTTTCATATGTGTATGCTATAGTCCAGTAAGAACTCTACATAACTGCCCTTAGGATCTAAAGCAAGACTGTTTCATTTCTCTGCAGGTGAATGAAATCTACCACGACCGTTCCCTTGGAGCACGGATCAACGTGGTTCTGGTTCGGATTGTCTTGGTTGACGCCAAAAAGGTAAATCATCTGTGTGTGTGTGTGTGTGTGTGTGTGTGTGCGTGTGTGCGTGCGCGAGTATGTTCTTTTCCTGCTCGTATTCTCTGCAGCTACTAATGGTACATCTGAGACTGCTGCTCAGGCTTTCCCTGCAGAGTGATGGAGAGACATAGTGTTGAGATGAAGGCTGCTTGCTGCAGGCTACTTGCCTGTTTGCCTACTTGCACAATAGAAAGAATACCAACATTATGCCAGTCTAACGAATCCCAGCTTCACTTTTCGTCGGATGCACTTCAGACGATGCATGGTTTGCCTATGTGCTCTGAATCAGCCATCGGTGGGGTTGATTTCATGATAGTTTGACGTGTTGCATTGGTTAACAGTCATACACAGGTGCATTCTCTGTTTCTCTATTTCTTCATCTTTTCGCTCTCTCTTACACACACACACACACACACCCTGCCTGCTCGTACGTCTACTCCCACCCCCTTCAGCTGGGCGCACACCAAGGCCTAGGGCTTGTTATTCCGGCGGACTGAGCAAGCGGGAACTAAAAGCATGGCATTCTCATGGGAGTGTTTTCAAAGTCGCACACCTTCACAGTTCAGCACCAAAGCACACAGAATGCTGATGTTACGCAATTGGCTTCCGAATGCCCCCCTCAAACCCCCCCCCCTTTCCCGCTGGGACGCAGCAAAGTATTCTGGGAAGTAGATGCAAGATAAACAATCAATGATGGCCCTCCCTCATTCACAAACACAGAGCTGTAAAATCTCCCTCCCTTCCTGCTCGCTGTAAGAGGAGATGAGGCGAGGCGCTGCCGTGGGATCGAGTGACACGCTAGCCGACCCCATCTCTGCCACGATGGACCTCAAAGGCTTGTCTGACCTTTGGCGTGCCCTTAGCGGCGCTCCCTGACGCCCACAACAGAGCACTTAGCTGAACAAATGCTCGTCTGCGTTAGCAACAGTTAAGGCTGACTGAGTTTCATGTTCACAAGAAGGAAGGACAGTTTTCCCCGCAAATGTAGTCGATCAATCTATACATGTTTGGTGTTTGAAGTTTGCTTCTTTAATTTTGCACTTGAGCTAATATAGCTGGAAAGTAATAGATGCTTATATAGCACCAGTTACCCAAACTATGTCATGCTTGCCTCAAACTGTGTCAAGTTCTTTGGCAAAAATCACACGTAAACAGTATTCGACTTACTGCAGATGATCAGCCCAGACATGTTTGGTGTCTGAAGTTAGCTTCAGATAGTTCAGTGCTGTCAATAGTCACCCAAATCTTTCCCACAAATCTGACTCTTCCGCAGAGACTGACTCTGACTCTGAATTTCTGCTGTTTCTCTTTCTAAACATCTTCAGTGTGAATTCAACTTATATTCAACTAATAGTTATTTATGTACAGAAACAACAGAAATCATGCCACACTGTGATATTTTGTATATTTTTATAGCTCACAGTATATACATTATACTGTGTTCTAAACCAGGGGTTCTCAGCCTTTTTCCACCCCAAAGCCCACCTGTTTATAACTACAAAGCATAGCAGCCCACAGGAAAACTGAAATCAACTTTCTAAATATACTTTTCGTTTTTGTTTCTTAAGTGCTGACACCGAAAAGCTGAGAATCAGGGACTGAAAAAGATTAAATCGTCCATTTCGGGTCACAGAAACAAAAAATTCTAGTTATGTTAAAAAACATAACGTGAAAAATCGATAGACGTGCAATGATGTTCAAAAAGGGAAAAAAAAAGAATAAAAATGTGCAAGGTAGATTTGGGCCCAATCCCATTTCTCATATTTACACTTACTCCTTGTTTTTGAGTGTCACCTTGCCCCTTGGAACTGAGATACAAGGGGTAGTGGTTGAAATCTTCCCTATGAAATTGGACCTTCAAATAAAAAAGAACATTACTTCATTAACAGGCTGCTAGCGCTGCTCTGTAGGCGACTCTGCCAGTCTGCAGTGACAGCAGAGGAGGGTAAAGTTCACTGCTGGTCTTTTGTTAACTTTAAGACACAATATGCCTTCAAAGAGGGGGAATGCGGCAATTATTTTTATGACTTACTCCTAATTCTTCAGTCATATGAAGCTGGTCAGCTATTAGTCAGCTTCTTGTTCAGATTTTCCTGTTCCACCCTAAATGGAGCAGTAGTTACATTCAGGCATCAGTACTGCTGGACTATTTAAGGTGGAACAGGAAATTTAGCTGGCTAGCTACTGAGACAATAGCATACTGATAGCGATTTTTATGCTTGTTATAAAGAAAAGGACAATAATACATTGAAATACAGTGGTTATCGTAATTTTTTAATGGAAAAAATTCTCACATTTGTGGGTTTTTTTGGTCTCTTGCAGAGCCATCTTGCCCGTTTTTTCTCATAACACTGTTTGGAGTGTGTCTCTAAAAAACCTCCGTTTGGAGAGCCAAGCAGCCCTAACACTTCACCCTACCCCTCTATCTCAACAACAATCAGAACACCCTACACCTAGACGTGAACACGCAAAACAGAGGGCTAAGTGATAGGGGCAAGGGGTGAAATGGGATTGGGCCTTGGTCTGCAGTTTGGAGCTGCAGTCTATTGCATTTTCATCAAAAATACTCCACTGGCTTTCCCACAAGAGAAACTGTTTGAGACGTCTTAGTTTTGAGGGCTTTTGTGATTCATTTGAAAAAGCCAAACCTCACTCCACTCACCAGGCTTTTGGATTAGTGTAGCCACAATCAACAACAATAATAGTAAACCTGGATATCTGCTTCTTTAGAATAGGTTTATTAGTTTGATTTTAACCACTCAGGTCCAAAAATATGTTCTGATCCATGAGCCAAAATCAAACACATCTCCTCACCATTATTTCATTTTACAGCAGCATGTGCTGCAGAAACAATACGAGAGCAAATGAAAGTCTGTGAAGAGACAAACATTAAAACAGGCAGATTATGCTGACAGTACAGCACCGACACGCTTCTAGAAGAAGAGGAAAGCAAGCTCTGTTGATGAATTCCCTGGTTTCATTATAGAATGCATTCCCACCAGCAGCAAACTGAACCAGGGTTCGCTTGGAAGCAGGCCGAGGCTCGTGGGTTTTTGCCAGACCAGGTTCAGCTGTCTGTTACAGAGTTGAGTACAGATGGAGTGTTACAGATGTCAAAACGAAGCAAACTAATAAAAAATCTGACGGGTTCACACCAAACAAGGCAAGTGTAAATGCAACCTGAGAAACTTCTCCAACTCTGCCTTGATAACTGTCTGCATTGCACCTGCAGCTGCGTTGTCTGAAACTGATGACGTTTATTTAGCTGTCTTCTGCAATGTTTTGATTTTTCTGCGTGTTTTGATTATAATTTGATAACGTTCGATTTTTTGATTCTCAATTATTTAGTTAATCTTTTTTTTTCCACTTTTATGACCTAAAGTGACGTTACCAACCCACTACGAACTATTACCTCCCACTTAGTACAGGCCCTGCGGACCACTACAGGGTGCTTCATGGCCCACTGGTTGAGAAACCCTGCCCTAAACCACATCGACAAGTCTGCAAGACCTTAATGAGGACATGGATGCTGTTTGAGTGGGTCGAGGGACGTTTTCGGGAAGTGATTTGGGTGTCTGTTGACTTCTGGTGTTCTTTAGTGACATTAGCCTCATGACTCCATCCCTAAAGTAAGTAAGCAAAATTTAGACATCAAACATGTCATGGCTGATCAACTACATCTCATAAGTGGAAAACTGTGTACATTAGATTCTTCACCAAACTACTTCTTTAAGGACTTGTGGTTTCTGACCTCATATGGCATAAAAATAGACAACAAACACACACAATCCAGTCTTCAAGATGATTTTACTGCTATGCGGCATATGTTTGTCCATTTTGCAGACTCGCAGCTTAAAGGGCAAACTAACATATCTACTAAACATATCTTGGCTGATTAACTGCATTTGTGATAAAAGAACAGTTTCAAGTTTTCATTATCCTATTTCTTCGAGTCTGTGGACGAGTGAAGGTTGCTCATTCAGCCGCGTTCCCTTTTACTCTAGTTGAATTTTTAAACCAGGAAATATATCTCGGTAGTAACAAATGACCATTTCCTCTCAGTTACATATTCTGACATCTTCATTTTTCATGTAATCCATCATTCTCTCAGCTTAATTTTGCAGTCGACTAGCTGCACCTTAAATGGCCGCTCCTGCTGAATGGCTGTGTGTGCTGCTGGTGTTTAAGAGAATCTGGTTTGTTTTGTGGAAAAGATCAGGCACTTTTCTCTTGACCTGTAACTCCTACATTGACAGCACCTTTCAAACAGCACAGCTTGTCACAGTGGTCTGGAATGAAACGTCTAAGCAACAGAGTTTTGAGTTTTCAAAATGATGACGCATCGATACTCCATGTATATTTCACCAATATTCCATCCACTGACATTAAAGCCATACTGCTTAAATATTCCAGCAAAGCTTCACTGATACTTCCTGAATTTTTGTCTGATATCAGGCGTATAATACACTGACATGCCACCAGTATTCCAGTGATGCTGCATCAATATTCCACCAATGTTCCAGTTATTCTCCACCTGTATTCCACAAGTATTCTAGTGGTACTTTACCACTTCATCAGCATTCCAGTGATTTTCCACCAATATTCCAATGATACGCCACGTGTGTTCCACCAATATTCCAATGTGTATTCCACCAATATTCCAATGATACTTTCACTGTATTCCACAAATATTCCATTGATACTCCACTTGTATTTCTCTAATTTTCCAGTGATACTTCACCAGTATTCCAGTGATACTCCTCTTGTATTCCATCAAAATTCCAGTGATACTCCATCAGTATTCCACCCATATTCCTGCATTTTCACCAGTCTTATACAACTTTGGAAAATCCTTAAATTGTCAGCATTGAAAGATTGTAACAACAATAAAATATAGAACTTAAATTACTATTTTAAGAATAGAAGCACTTTTAGAGCTAGTCCTGGGCAACATTAAAAACCATTAGCACAATATTTTG